ACACACACACACACACACACACACACACACACACACACACACACCTTTGTGTACAGCTCGTTCACAGACATCTTCCAGCTCGTGTTTCCTCTGGGTTCGAACAAACTACGACGCTTCAGCTCCCATCAGAACATGATCCTCCTTTAGAACAAGTAGAATCCATTGAACTCCATTAGAACCGGTGGGACGGTGTTTCCTTCACTTCCTCCTGAAGCAGGTGAACAGCCCGCCTGTCCACGGCGGGGAGGGGGAGGGTTTCGGACACTTTGCTGGGTGGAGTTCGGCTCAGTGGGTTCGATTCTTCATGTGTTCTTCATGTGCTCTCAGGTTCTCAGGTGTTCCTCTGGTTCCTCTGGTTCCTCTGGTTCCTCCGGGTGGTGCAGGTGAACCACAGATGATCACAGACACACTACACTTCCTGACACACACCGCGCGCTCTGATTGGCTGTTTCCCTGGACCGCAGCCAGGTTTCTACGGCGCGCACACACACACACACACACACGCGCACACAGACACACGCACACGCACGGCGGGACCTTCGAACGGTCACAGATTATTAAGGTTTTGTTTATATTTACTTGTATTTTGTTTTATTGAATAAAAGTATCTGTCACTTTTTGTAGTCAGATGTGTAAACAATAACAACAACAACATCATATCAACACAACAACAACAACAACACTAACAACAACAACAACAACATGTACGTTGTCTGTGTCTAAAGTTTTTTCCTCCTGGACCGTGATTGGCTCCAGCCTGTGATGTCATGACGATCACGTAACAAAGATGTGACCGTGACGTCAGACAATGAAATGTGAGTGTGCTGTGTTTGACGTTCAAGTGCTGAAGCTGCGACAGCGCTGTTGCTAAGCAACGACGACAGCGACTCCCTCATGACCTCTGACCTTTCAGTCGTCTTCAAACCCAACTCAAGAAGCTTTCAGAAGTTTCAGGGGTCAGAGGTCATACACACCACCAGGGGGCAGTGATCAGGCCTCTGTCTCATCTCAGACTACAGGTGACTACATGTGAATCATGGGAAATGTAGGAGACACCAAGTCAGATCTTAATCTCAGTCACTATTTCTATCATCATACTGTAAAAATATAGTGTTTGACTTGGAAATGTAATAGATTACAAGTATAAAGAAAACAGAAGTACTCAAGCTCTAAAAACACGAGAGTCTTTCAGTATATGTATACTTCTCTTACTTTTTACTCAGGTAAACCAATGAATGTACGTTTATTTTACATGTAATTTACATTTTAAAGAGCGGTGTTGATACTTTTACCTCAGTTACTCAAGTTATCATTAGTAATCAAAGAGACTTGTGTGTATAAGAGTCTATCACAGAGCAGCACTGATACTTTTACCTAAGTTACCAAGGTAAACTTTTGAATGAAAGAGTTTTACACTGAGTGGAGGATTTTACAGAGTAGCACTGATACTTTTACTTCAGTAACTCAGGTAGACTTTTAAATGAAAGAGTTTTACACTCAGTGGAGGATTTTACTGAGTAGTACTGATACCTTTACTTAAGTTACTTAGGTAAACCTTTGAATAAATTAGTTTTACTTGTACTAGAGTATTTTACAGAGCAGTAAATGTGAGTATTTTCTGCTCGAGCTGAGAAATCTCCTCCACTCCAGAGCAAAGAAATCTTATCAGACATTATGAAACTTGCTGATGGTGTGAACATTAACAGACATGTCTATTGTCAAAGCGAAACAGGTGATACAGGTGATACAGGTGATAAATGTGACCTTTACCTTGGAGTAAGGGTAATATTGCGCGGCCATCGTCAAGTCCTCACATAAAGTCAAAGTGCGTGAAGCAGCTCCGCAGCTTTAACAATCACCAGGAACAAACAGATCTCAGACCTGTCCCAACAAAACTATTATTCTTACATCAGCTGATGATCCACTCCCAAACCACACCTGCTGCAGGTATGAGCTGTTTACCTGCCGTCTGGCCTGACCCCGCCCACAAAACCCACTATCACACCAGATCACAAAATAACGAGCCGTCAAATCGTACAGTCACAGGCTGTGATTGGCACAAACATTAACAATGAAAATCCAGTGACATCTGCTGGCTGGATGCTTCATGTGTTCCTGCTCCTCAGAGGATAAACTTCACTGACGCTTCATCAAACACCAGCAGCTCTGTTTCTCATGGAGCCTGTGAATATTTGGTTGAGGTGAATCTGACTTTTGATCTAGCGCCATCATCAGGTCAGAAGTTAAGCTTTACGAGCTGATGCCTGCAGAACTAATTCACATCAGCCAGAGGTTCGTTGACATTCATCCTCTGAGGATCATGAACATATCCAGAATATCATGATCTCCCCCCTCAGCATTAATATAAGAGTAGTGTGAAATAAACATGCTGTAGTTTTATGATATAATGTTTAATTCTTCATTTAAACAAAGTTTTTCATGTTGAAGATCAATAAACTACAAAATAGTAATTAATCTTTACCCACTGGACATCACATCATGACAAAATCAATATTCTACTTTAAAAAAATTATCAAAAGATAAAAAAGAATAATTTCTAATCAATTCAACATCATAATGGTTATTGATTGATTGTTTATTTATCAGTTATCAATGAAAGTTCACGCCCACAGGTTGGATTCACAGCTTCCAGGCGTTTCTCATCATTAGAATAAAGTAGACGTCGCTGTCGATGGAGGCGCTGACGCCACAGTAATAGTTGATGAACTCGTCTTTCGTCACCTGTCGGCAGAAGAAACACTTTGGTGATGACATCACAGGTGAATATGTCAACTGTGTGATATACATACACAGTATATAAATATATATATATATATAAATATATATATATATATGTGTGTGTGTGTGTGTGTGTGTGTTTAACTTGGCTAACATTGTTGATGGCTAACGTTGGTACTGATGTTGGCTAACATTGATGGTCACAACGCTTAATGCTGGCTAATAATGAAGCTAGCTTATGTTAACACTGGCTAACATATATGTGAGCTGATGCAGATACAAGCTAACGATGATCACGTGGAGAGTGAACAGGTGAAGATTGAAGAGGAAGGTTTACGTCTGATTGAAGAATAGAAAATAGTTCGTAGAGAAGTGTTTGATTTAAAGTCAGCAGGAACATTAAAGATGGAATCTGCCACCAGTCGATCTGATTCTGACGTTTGTACGTTGTATGATTCTTCTTCTGTCCAAATACAAAAAGAAATTTGACATTAGTATTTTTCTTTTGTTTTAAAATAACAATCATACGACATACAACATGTCCAGCAGGAATCATGAGGAGACATCGCGTAGAACATGGAACCACATCTAACTCTTCCCTCGTCCCATCACCAGAGCGGTTTGTTTACCAGAGTGACGCTAACTCAGAGTTTCCAGGCATTTCTCATCATCACAATAAAGTAGACGTCTGTATCGATGGACGCACTCACACCAGAATAATAATTGATGAACTCCTCCTGCGTCACCTTCGGAGAGTGAGACCACATGAACACACACTTCTGTCATTTCATGTGTAAACTGTAAACGAGATGTTCACTGACCCTCAGAACGTTTGAACACCTGAAAAAAACAAACAGTTCATTACTTTTCCATCTTTGTCATACGGAGTGTCAAAGCTGTCCAGAAACGTCCTGAAGACTTGATCCTCCGTCCACTCTCCATTCTGGTACTTGGGGTGGTATTTGGCGTTATAAACCCCCTGCAGGTCTTCGATGGTGATCACTCCGTCACCCGTCTTGTCCAGTTTCCGAAACGCTTCCATGACCACCTCCTTCCTGGCCTTGGACATGGGAGGCTGCAGACACCAGGTCATGGAAGTTAAGAGACGAGAAAGAACGAACACGTGAAACATGTGCAGCGACTCGTCCGTGTATATTTACCCTGAGAGTGATGAGAAACTCGTCAAAGTTGATGGCCCCGTTCCCGTCACGGTCAAAGTGTTGGAACAGAGACATGGCTTCCTGTTTCTCCATCAGGATCCCGTAGTCGTTCAAACCCTTCAGGAATTCTTTTAAGTCCAGAGAGCGGTTGTTGTCGTCGTCCATTATTTTAAAGGTTCTGACAAACATATAAACACATGTCGGTCAGTGATCGTCTTTATACACAGTCAGTGATTCTTTATATACAGTCAGTGATCATCTTTATATACAGTCAGTGATGGTCTTTATATACAGTCAGTGATGGTCTTTATATACAGTCAGTGATGGTCTTTATATACAGTCAGTGATGGTCTTTATATGCAGTCAGTGATCATCTTTATATACAGTCAGTGATGGTCTTTATATACAGTCAGTGATGGTCTTTATATATAGTTATATCCTCACCTGCCCAGACCTTTAATCCCTGATGACCCTCGTGCCAGACACTGAAGTCTGAGTCTCTCCACTGGGTCCGAACACTCTGTGAGTTGACGTTTGGCGTTCATCACCATCTCTCGATCGTGTCTCGATGTCCCCGCCATCTGTGACATCACATACAGAATGTATAATGTTGATTAGTTATATTAAAAACTTTTTCTGAAGGTGTTATATAAACAGACTGTATATAAAGACCATCAGACCAATAATAATAATATTAATATCTCAAACACTAACGCTGACATCTTGTGGAGATGATTTGTGAATATTCACTCTATAAATAAAATGTGACTGACGGACGTTAAGCAGCCGTCACGTCGTCCATCTTTACTCACAGTGAGGTCAGGTGAGTTTTACACCTGCTCTGTGAGAATGACGCAGTGTTGAAATATAAATACATATACACAAATCACTCGGTGACGTCACTTCCTGTCTGCACCCATCATTCCAAAGAGTGTCGATCATTATCGATCACAAACATCGATCTCACCTCGATCCTCAGGAACCAACGAAGTTTTATCTTCAGCTGCTCTTCCCCAAACTAAACCTGGTTACCATGGAGACCAGCACTTCTCTGCTCTGATTGGCTGTCCACACCGTCACTTCCGCAGAGCCAATCACGTGACACGAGAAGGCTTCTTCTTCTTCTTCCATTTCTTTTTCTTCTTCTTCTTCTTAGTTCAGTTTATTGGCGGGTGGTTAACAACGTCAACGTGCATTAGCGCCCCCTATTGTCTCTTATTACCCAGTGATTGTGAATGCGATCAAATGAACTGAAAATTCTTCTTCTCAGTCCAGTGATGAATGTAAACCTGATGTAAATATACATAGAGACGATTAATGAATATATACACACACATATATATATATATATATATATATATATATATATATATATATATATGTATAAATAAAAATGTATAAATGTATAAATAATGTATAAATAAAAATAATGTATAAATAAAAATATTAACGTTTGTTTGGATGAAATTGGTTGAAGTGTGCAGCAGTGCATCAACTTAGAATCAGGTCAAGGTGTAAACTCAGTTATTATTATTCTTAATATTATAATTATGGTTTTAAACCTTCTTTAGGTCAGTTTAGGGTTAAATCCTGTAGATTTTTCTTTAATGCCTCATGGTCACATTTACAAAGGTATCTTTCTTTCACGAGAAGGTCGCTCAGTTCCTGTTTCACAATCTGCCCCCCCACTGCCTGAGAAACATAATCCTGTATGTTTTTCAACAGAGCCTTGTTCTCTTGGTCCCTGACTTCAACATGTATGAGAGCGTGGAAGCTTTCGAGTTCTGCTTTGTTGTTCTTCCCCATGTTGAGCTTTCTGTTGAACTCCAAGCTGTGTCCTTCCAGAATCGCTATCTCACGGATAACAGCCTCTCGTGCATCGTTGCAGTTTTGCTTCCATAGATTGATAATCCAATATCTGTCTGTCCAACTTGTCTTTCTTCTCCAGAATCCAGGTCTGCGTCTCCTGCAGCATTGATGTATAAATCCCAATAATGTTTGTACGAAACATGTTCCCTTTAGTTTTCTTCTGCAGGTGAGCTTCGAGCTCACCGACCCTCTCAGCCTGACAGGTGAGATCTGTCTTTGCCTGCTGGAGTTCAGCCTTCAGCACTGTCCCACAATTCACTGCAGCAACAACCTTTAAATTGACACAGCACAGGAGCACCTAGGCCAAAACATATAATTGAAGAAAATAACATAACAGCTGTTTTCTAACATCTGGGACATAAATATATGTGATAATGTTCCTTTTGGTTTTATTCTGAAACATTAGCTGCCATATCAGAAAGCGTTGGTTTCACAGTGTCCCTTTGTTCTCTAGGTTCAACTACATTGGTCCTCTTTATTCATCAGTGAAGACACCAGGGGGCGCTGGAGTCACACATTAAGAGTTCAAAAGTCACGTTTATTGTTCACAACACACACACCTGGTAGCTCTGTACAGTCTGAGCTCTCTGCGGGGAACTGTTAGGTAACACACAAACTTTATAGGCAAACAGGTCAACGATCACGTCCTCGACAGTCACTTGCCAACGTACGTTAAATTCATGAATGACTCCGTCCCTACTGAGCTAATATTATTTAATAAGATTGTTATGTATTAATAATGGTCACGTTTCTGCATGTGACATGATGGATTCTACACGGATATGATGAACCACGACACGTGTGTTAACATGTTAAGTCAGGTGCTACACTGTTTCATGACATCACAGTTTTGTTACTACGGCGTCATGATGAGGTCACTTCTCAGTCACACGAGCAGAGTCACGATTAAACCACAGTTTATTATCAACGCAGACTTTCCTAGTGTCTTGTATTTATTGACATTATTTTTGTCGTCAAGGCAACATGTACAGCAACAAACATCATCGGGTGGGGCCTGATAAGAGCTGTGGGCGGGGCTTCAGTCTCACAGACGAGCCTTGTACATGCGTCCCATCAGTTTCTCCAGTTTTAAGGCGAGCGTCATGTCTCCTTTAATCCGCAGCTTTCCAGACATGAAGGCCATTGTGGGCTTCAGCTTACCTGAAACAACACAGCTGTTACCATGGAAACAGTACTGCCCACTGCTCTATCCCAACAACATTATCACAATGGTTATAACAGCATCACCATGGCACTGTCCCTTTATATATTTCATGCTGTTACCGTGGTGATGGCTCACCTGCGAACATCTTGCTGAAGTCGCTGGAGTCCATTGTCATGATGACATCAGCTTTGATTGATGGCTGGCCCTGCCCCGCACTGCCAGAGCCGCTCTTTAAGTCCAGGAACCAAACGCCCCCATGTTCTCCTTATATGGACATAAACAGATGACATCACTGACACGCCCGCAGGACGTCCTTACATGGAGAAGACGGACTCGTGTTGTTTACCTGACAGGTCAAACTGGTAAATGCCCTGGGTCGACTTGACCAAGTCATCATTGATGACTCCTCTGATGACATCAAAAGTGCTCTCTATTGGTCCACTGGAGGGGGGCGGGGTCGAAGATGATGGTTTGAAGGCTGGGGTCGCCCCTAGCAACCAGGAGACAGACTCAGTTAATTTCATATCAATTTAAATCAGTAATGAAACGTACTATATCATTCATCACTGGAGTTTTACCATGTTGCTCCATCTGTTGGGCCAGCGCCTCTGGTGCTTCGTCCAGGAAGAAGTCTGGCAGCAGAGGGTGACCTGTCGACCAATCAGAAACCACCATACGTATCACAAGACAGTGACAGTGCTAGGCTGTAACCACCTATGCTAGGTTACGTTATGTTAGTGACGATGGACATGACAGCAGCAGAGGACGGCTTCTCTGGAGGACGACGCCCATCTCTGCTGTTCGACTGCTGGAGTCAGTGTGAGAACGTTTTCTACGCTGACTCCTTCGATCTGCTCTCACAGCTCACCTGGCTGGACTGCGTACTGGTCGAAGTCTTGGACGCCCTGCTCTCTGAGGATGTCCTCGTCCACCACGAAGCGACCCGTGAAGTCCTTTGGTTGGGACAGGATGGCGTAAGCGGCATCTGCCATGATGTCCGACGTACGACACTGTTTGCCAATTCCCTCCCCACCCAACATGTCCATGGCTGCAGTCTGGATCGCTATGGCAACAACACACAGGTCAGAGCAGGATTAGCATGCTAGTTTATTATGAGAGTATATGAGGGGTTGTTAGCATGCTAACAGACACTCACCTGTTTTGGGCCAGAGGGCGTTGACAGCAATTTGACCTCTAAATTCTTCGGCCATCCCCAGGACGCACATGGACATACCGTACTTTGCCATCGTATACGCTGAAAAAAAAAAAAAAAATAGAACATGCTGTTACTGCACAGGTGTATGACAGGTCAGCTGCTCAGTTGGTTGCTATGGTTACCTGTGTGGTTCTTGAACCACACTGGGTTGAGGTTGAGTGGTGGAGACAGGTTCAGGATGTGAGGGCTGCGACTCTTTAGCAAGTGAGGGATGACCAGCTTAGAACTGAAACATACAGATGCTCATTAACTTACACTCGTTCACTGATGCTCGCTAAGAACACGTCGTTAACAGCTGATTCAGAGCCGCTCGCTAACCACAGCTGGTTGACATCGTTCTTTACAGTGGCTCATGTCACAGTTTGGTTTACGGGGATATTCTCCATGCTGCATGATCACCTGAGGCAACACACAACCGTTGGAGCTGTGTGCGTTTAATAATGTGTGTGTTCAGTAATGTGTGTGTTTAGTAATGTG